ATCACCCTTCTTCATTTTCACTGTTGTTTATTGTTGGTTCAATGCACTCTGTTCAGGAACTTCTTGGCCTCAACAGGAATTTTAAAACCAAAACACTCCAACTTGGTAGTTTTGTTTTGTTTTTTTTTTTCCGTGCATGCTTGTGGAGGGTCAGTCAAGCTGATTTCTGAAGACATCATGTCCTGACCAAACCTCTCCCCAGCTCCTTTAGTCCGGAGGACGGAGGACGTCAGGCCTTTTACCTTGGTCCCCTCGACCGCCCGCCCGCCCCCCCCCCCACACACACCTGTTCCTTTGCCTTTGTGAATCTATACTGCTGAAGACCGCCGGGTTGAAGTAATCAGAATCTCCAGATGTCTGGTCACCGCTCCTACCCCGACCGAACCTCTGGGATTGTTTCTGAAAGCTGGTTAAAAAACAAAACAAAATAGGCCCTTGAAGACTAGTATGAAAAGAACGTGGGGACAGACTTGTAGAGTTCTTAATGTGTTTCATTCTGCTATCTTTAAGTCAGTCTTATTTGCAGCCATTAGAGTCTGAAAAGGGGAAGCTATTAGAGACCAACAGTAGTGATAGGAGACTTGGTTGGGGTAAAGGTTTTGTACTGAGGGCCAGAGGTCAAACTTAGATTCTGCTACCGAATGTAATCTGAATCTGAGTGAATTTCTTCTATTTCTGATGTGGATATTGTTATGATAAAGCTTGAGGGGGACCTTGGGTGGGGGATCATGGCGGATTCCTTGGCAGGCGAGGGTGACCCGAGGTGGGGAACAAGCACACCAAACAGACAGAGCTTAAGTGGGCTTTATTAGAAAGGGGAGAGAAGGGTGAGGAAAGAGAAAAGAGATAAAGAGGCACAGAGACAGAGGACAGAAGAGAAGAGGGAGACAGAAAAAGTTCTGTCTGCCCCGGGGGAATAGCGGGAAGAGAGAGCAGGGAAAGAAAGCAGAAAGAGAGCACATCCTTTAAAGGGGTCCTTTGTTTGCACCTGCATGCTGACTACAATCATGGAACCCTGGGCTGACCAGGGTACTGCCTGAGTGCATTCTGCCAGGTGACAGGAGCAGGGCATGATAATGCCTGAATCCTTACAGATACTGCAGACAGATTCATAAAGTAATGACCAAATCTTGTTTTTGTGTGTATTTCTAAGAAATAGAACTATTGGGTTTGTACATAAATACACTAGGATTACCCAATGCTAACGCATGCGGTCACTCCCCATCTCCACTTTTTGCTCTTGTCCCGGAACTGTGATCCAGCACTGGTTCTGACTCCAGCTAACAAGTGGCAGGGAAACATTTCCCATGTTTGGCCCTCATTCCATGGTCTTTTCCAGACTCTGTTCCCAGCAATTGTTAATTGATAGTGAATATAGCTTCACTCTTAATCCTTGATTCCATTCCATGGAAATAAAAAGCATGCTGTATATTCTCCTGTAAGAGTATATTGCAAGTTAGGCTTTCTCTTTACTGTAAATATAACTTATTTTATCTGTATAAAAAAATAAGCTATTGCATCATCTTGAATTTATTGAGCAGGTTGTAAATTCTGAAAAAAAATGATACAATCATTGTGAAAAATTAAATGCAGGACATAAACATTTATTTTGCTTGTTTGACTTTTTAAAACATTTATTTTGATATATTTTAACTGTGCATGTGCATGTGTGTGTCTGTGTATGTGCCCGTGCGTGCACACATGTAAATTCAGCTGCTTGTGGAGGTCAAAATCATCAGATCACCATGAATCTCCATTTAAACTCTTTTAATATATATATGTGTGTGTATGTGTCTATGCGTATAATTAAGAACACTCATACAAAGCCAGACGTGTTGGTGAACACCTTTAATCCTAACACTCTGGAGGCAGAGGCAGACAGATTTCTGTGAGTTTGAAGCTAGCTTGGTCTACAAAGCATGTTCCAGGACAGCTGTGGCTACACAGAGAAACCTGTCTGGGAAAATCAAACAAAAAGAAGAAGAGGAGGAGGAGAAAGATGATGATGATGACTCATACAGTTGCAGAATTTTATATGCCATTCTCTAGGGCATATACTCCTTTCCATACTCCTTCCTCTACCTCCATTCCCAGCCCTCACTTCATTTAGTTCTTTCTGTTCTTTATTTCTATAACCCCCTTCATACTACTTGTGTTTTATCTCCTTTCCCTGGAGGCCCACCTCCAATGTCCCCTTACTGGTTTCCTGGCTCTTACGGGTACTCTAGTTTAAACAAACATCTAAAGATTCAAATCTAACATCCACATGAGAAAAAAACATGTCTGCCTTTCTGTGCTGGGGTTACCTCACCAGGAACTACTATTTCTAGTTTTAACCACTTACTAGTGAATTTCATGATTGCATTTTTCTTTACAGCTAAATAATATATTGCTGTGAAAATGTACCACTGCTTACATCAGCTGATGGACTTTTGGGCTGTTCCCATCTTCTGGCTATTGTGATTAAGCAACAATGAAGATAGATGAACAAGTATCTCTTTGTAGTAGAGATTAGAGTCCTCTGAGCATACCCTCAAGAGTGATGTATCTGCATCATATGATGGATTTCTCTAGCCTTTTGAGGAAACTGTACGATCTCCATAGTGATATTAATTTACACTCCTTTCCCCATGTTCAAGACAGCATTTGCTGCCATTTTTTCTTCTTAATCTTAGCCATTCTGGGTGGAGAAAGATGAAATCGCAAAGTAGCTTTAATTTATGTTTTCCTGATGGCTAAGGATGTTGAACATAAAAAAAAGAAAGATGTTTCTCAGCCATTTGTATTTCTTCTTTTGAGAATCTGTTTAGTCCCATGCCCCAATTTTTAATTAAATTATTTGTTTTCTTGGCATTTAGAATTTTTACCTTTTTAAAAAAATTATTTTAGCTACTAATCCTCTTTCAGATGTATAGCCAGTAAACATTTTTTCCCATGTTACAGGCAGCCACTTTACATGTAGAGATCCATATGGTTGTTGAAAGTGATTGTTTGAAGGAACTTGAGATGTACATTTTTCACCAAGTGCTCCTAAGAGGAGGTTTAACCTAGTGTTATGTTGTTGAACTAGACTAGTGCCCATTCTCAGTACAGTACAAAGAATTCATTTTTACTACCTATTATGTTCCCTTTTTTTGTGTTTGTGTTCAGGACCCTGGGTTCAATCCTCAACGCTGAAGAAAAAAATTACAATAGAAAAGGAAAAGTATAGAAAGTGATAGAATCAGACTTGTCAAAGATTGAGGATAGACTGTCCTAATGAAAGCGACTCTGAGAGGTGCAGCTGACAAACTTGTGAAATACAAAGCAATTTGGTATGACTGGAAAGAGTCCAACAGTACAGGGGTATGAAATGAAACTGTGAAGGTAATAGGATAGGTTATGCTCTAGATTTTACCCTAAGTAAGATGTGGAGTCAGGAGTGTATCCTGAGCCATGAAGGGAATAGCTGGTCTCGTATTTAATGGAATCTCCTGTTTGCTGAGTATAAATAGCCATATGACAGAAAGAGGAGACCCTCTAAGAGGCTTCTTAGATAAATCAGTGGTAGCCCAGAATGAGACAACTGAAGTATGAAAGTTGCCAAATCCTTGATAAGTTTTAAAGAAGAGGTACCAAACTTAATTAATGAATTATTGTTACAAGTATTACAATGTACATGTTGGTGGAATTTAGTGTCTAGTAAAGGAAGAAACATGAATCCCAAGCTGACTAAAGCTTACTTTCAAGTTAGAGGGACATATCACACACACACACACACACACACACAAACACACACACACACACGTGAAAACATGTGTAATACTTCTCATAATTAGTGCCTGAAGGGATGGCTTAGTCATTTAGAATACTTGATGCTCTTGGAGAAGACCCATCTTTGCTTCCCAGCACCTAGAATCATCTGTAACTCTAGTTCTGGAGGATCTTATACCCTCTTCTAACCTCCTTGGGCACTAGGCACATACATGGTGCATATATATATATATATATATATATGCATGCATGCAAAGCACTCACACACTCTAAATACTTCTTTTAGTGCCTTGAAAAGGAATAAAACATCAAGCTGGATAGAGATAAAGGACCACACCTTTGTCAATTAAACATTTTTTCCCCTTGTATTCCAGGCTGCCCTCAAACTTGCTTTGTGTAGCTGAAGATGACTGTGCTTCTGATCCTCATCTCCACCTCCTGAGTGATGGGATTACAGGTGTCCCAGTCTTTCATCACCACACCTGGCTAATTTGGTGCTGGAGGCTGAACTCAGCATGCCATGTATGATAGGTAAACATTCTACCACATCCAGCTCATTTTGCCTTTGTAAAAAATTGTTCTTTCTGAACTTAAAAATTAAGGAGCAAACCCCATGGATTTATGAAGAAACATCAACTTACAGAGAGGACAAGCAAGGATTAGAATTATGAAGTATCATAAGCCTGCTATGTTCATACACTGTAAAGGTTTTAAGGAACGAATGGTAAATTTGTGTAGGTCAGAGAAGTGGAGGTGATATGGGAAGCCTGGAAAGCAGATAATGTAAAAACCCGAGACCAAAGAGCAGAGGGGAGACTGATTGTTGGGACAACCAAAGATGTGCTGAGAGGCAGGGAGGAAAGACCAAGAGCAAGGAGGAAATGAGGGTGCTAGAGAGAGGAGGTACTAAGGTAAAAAGGGAAGAAAAAAGTAAAAGACAGTAAAGCAGGGACGGGGAATGGAAAATCAACAGGGAAAAGGCTGACTGGCAAGGAAGGAAATGAAGATGCAGAGGAAAAGAAAGCCAGGTGCAGGGAGCATTGCTATGTCAGCCAGCCTCTACAGACTCTAGCGTCTGGCTATGCTTTAGCGATTACTAAGGACGCCTGACCTGTCAGGAGAGCATCCCAAAAGAAACATGAGCTTCTCATGAAAGCAAAGCCCAGCTATGACGGCATATCATAGGTTTTTAGTGATGGAGAAAGAGAGCATACCTGAACCTTTCCTTGCACAGAGTGCTGGACAGAATGGCAGCCAAGGCTCCATGGCTGGGTTTCTTATTTCTGGTTTCCCTCTGGGGGCTGTCAGCTCCAGGTAAGAGGGGGTTGAGGGTCGAGTAGGGAGACCTACAGAACCCAGCCTAACTCCCATGCCTTCCTGTTTCATAGCCTTGCTTCTCAGGCGCCTGAGAGAACACATTCAGAAATTTCAGGAGAGCTCCAGCCTGAATCCAGGCTTCGGTCTAAGCCAGGGTTTTATGGATGTCCCCAAACAAGGGTGGCTGGAGCAACCTCTGGATCCCTTCAACACATCTGATAGACGGACCTTCTTGCAGGTAAGTCTAGTAGAGGAAGTCACTGTTCACTTCACTGTCTGGTCAGTCACCTTACTCTATTCCTAGTTTGTGTCCCCCAAACCTCTAGCCTCCTCTTTTTACCTTGTCCTACACACCAGTAGTCTCAGAACTTGGAGGGCCAGGAGTTTGATAGCCTGGGCTCCATAATGATTTAAGACCAGTGTGAGTGACATAATACTGCCTCAAAGGGCAGGGAGCCTAGCAGATTTTAGCATGTAGAAGTTCAAACTAGCCTTGAAACCAGTAGTAACAACAGGTGTTCAAAAATCACAAGAAGGAATAAACAAATTTACACTTTTCTACTGCCTCCCCTGTACATAATCTCCAAAGGGTGTCCTACTATTCCTGCTCCCACTAACACTGCTTCCCAAAATAATAGGAGCCTACCATGCACCAGCCAGATCTCTCTGCCCTGAGGATTTCAGAATAAAAACACAAACAAAAATCAGTTTATTGAGCACATTGCAAAACCACAGCAAGCTGGGCAGTATCTAGAGTCCCCACCTCTGCATCCCAGAACCCAAAATATCTCCTTCTATGGTTATGTGACCTACACAAGCCCAGCTAAGACACCACTAAATAGAAGTATTCTTAGGGAAAAGGCTGAAGTGAAGGAGGAGTCAGGATGCTGTGTCATTTCTTCTCTCTCACCTCCACTCTTAGCGGTACTGGGTGAATGATCGACACCGAGCTGGCCAAGATGCACCTGTATTTCTTCACATAGGGGGTGAAGGCAGCCTTGGGCCTGGCTCAGTGATGGCAGGTAAGAAGCAAGGTTTGGGGAGCTGGAGACTAGGAAGGAGAACCACAGATGACAATAATGTGAGCCCTCAGAAGCCCATAGTTCATAACTCATGTCCACCTCTCTACCATGTGCTCTTCACAGGGCATCCTGTAGCACTGGCCCCTGCCTGGGGGGCCCTGGTGATAAGTTTGGAACACAGATTCTATGGTCTGAGTATGCCTTCTGGGGGCCTGGATATGGCCCAGCTTCGATACTTGTCCAGCCGCAATGCGTGAGTGGGGATAAGGAAAGTGTTTGAAATTATAAGACTAGAATGCTGTTAATGTTTCCACAGCTGTGTCTCTGCTACTGTCCATTATCCTCTGAGTGTCCGGCTTCCCCTCTTCTCTGTGTTTCATAGTCTCTTACTCTTTCACCTGTCATCTCTAACCCTCTCTTTCTAATTCTGACTTTCTCTTGCCTTCCATTCTTGTCTTTCTGTCCAAAGAACACTGTGAGCAGTCTCTCACTGTGGACTACTATTCCTGACCACCAGAATCTCTCTTAGCAATTATAGCCACATCCTGTTTCTGCCCTTGACCTCCATGTAGAAAATGGAATCCTGTCTGAGCATATATAGGATCATGACTCTCAAGATCATTGCTTACACCTCCCCTGCTGCTCAGGAGTCTTTCTAGAAGCCAGTTATCTCTGACACTCACAGTAGCTTAGCTACACTCAAATTCTTGCTACACACTGGCAGATATATTGTCTCAAGCTTTGGAACTTTTCCCTCTTCAAAGAGCAGCCTTTCCCCAGATATTTGTTTGTCTCTCCTTTGTGCCTCATGTCTGTGACTAACCCCCACTATTTCTTCCCCCAACCTCTCACCGCCTTTAATACTCTCAGCCAGGCTTATCTCTTGTTTCTGACTTTGCACCTCTCTTTTTCTATCGGTCTACATCTCTCCTTCTCAGTTTTCTCTAAAAGCTCAATTGACTTCGAATGGACAGCCACAAGGCTGAGAACCATCTCAGAAAAGCTGAGAGAGGAGATACTGCAGTGTCTTTCTCCTTTCTGCTTTGAGTTTCTCCCAGCCCCCAGTTCCTTAGCCTATCCAGCCTCCCTCATCTTCTGAGGAGCCCTCCTTGACTACCCCGGCTTCTTTTTATTTTTGTTAAGTTTTTAAGCTAACGTGCTAGGGAACTTTTCTGTTCTCACCTAAAACGAGTATTGAAAGAAGGTAGGTGGGTCTTCTCCCTTGGCTTAAGCAGAAAGGGTCATCGGGAAAAGCCTGGAACCCAGCTTAGGTTAAGGGATGGGCATATAGAGGACCCCAGGAGTGGAAGGTCCAACGCTCCCTCTTTTGCAGGTTGGCTGACGTGGCCTCCGCCCGCCAGGTGCTCTCCCGCCTCCTCAACGTGTCCTCTTCCAGCCCCTGGATCTGCTTCGGAGGCTCCTACGCTGGCTCTCTGGCGACCTGGACCCGGTTGAAGGTTCTCGGAATTTCATGAGTGGGCAGGGGTGGAGAGGTCCTCCTAGTGTCCGAACCAGGAATATTAGGGCGCACTCCCCCGCCGCTACCTACTCATGCACGTCACTGGGGCGGAAGAGGGATTTGGGTCATGGGCACCCCTCCTCGGTCCAGGCTGACCCCGCTCCTTTCGTAGTTCCCCCACCTAGTCTTCGCCGCCGTCGCCTCCTCCGCACCGCTTAGCGCGGTGCTGGACTTCTACGCCTACAACGAGGTAAGAGGTCAGTGGCGGGGGTGGGGGATGAGTGGGACCCGAGGCAAAGCCAGAGCCGGCCGTTCCCTTTCGTCCTTCCTGCCCGCCGCAGGTGGTGGCCAGAAGCTTGACACAAGTTGCGATTGGCGGATCGCTGGAGGTAGGCGGGAGCCTAAAGTGTGGAGAAAGAAGAGAGAGCGGGAAGAGCTCAGGAGAGCTCGGTTAGGGCAGCCGTGTTGCGGAAGACTTTAGTCCCGGGATTCGGGGATGTTTGGGAATTGCTGGGACTGGAGACTGGAGGATGCATCCAGAGAGGAGGGAGCCGTGTAGGGATAGGAGGTACTGGAGGGCTAGAGAGGAGCCAATAAAGGGCGGGGCCGAGGAGGGGCGTGGCAGGTGAGGGAAGGACTTATCGGAGGGTGGGGCCTTTATCTAGTCTTCCGGAGTGAAAGTAGAACCCTGAAGAAGATGCGAAAGAATAGGAGGGAAAATTTAGAGAGGACATGGACCCGGGGTGGGAACCGCCCCAAGAGGATGCGGTTCTAAGCAAGGGAAAACCCAGGCCTCCCGTGAACGTCGCTTCTCGGTTTCCGAAGTGTCTAGCGGCGGTCTCCGCAGCATTCGCGGAGGTGGAGCGGCTTCTGCGCGCAGGCCCCGCCGCTCAGGCTGTGCTGAGAGAGGAGCTGGGCGCCTGCGGGTCCCTGGATCTTAAGGAAGACCAGGGGGAGTTGCTGGGGGCGTTGCAGGCGCTGGTGGGAGGCACCGTGCAGTACGACGGGCAGGCGGGAGCGCCGCTAAGAGTGCGCCAGCTCTGCGGGCTCCTCCTCGGGGACTCTGGCAACCGCAGTCACTCCACGCCCTACCTCGGGCTTCGCCGGGCGGTGCAGGTAAGCTACCCGGACGTGCGCGCGAGCCAGGAGTTAGCAGACCAAGGCTGCGCTTCCACTTCTGCTGAACTCAGACAATCGAAACCCTTTTCTTATCCTTAGGTTCTTCATCAGTAAAATAAGGTTTGCATACTGCACCCGGCTGATAGTAAAGTTAGCTTATTAAGCAACACACGGTATACAAATGTTAGAGAACATGATTATCTCTTTTTACCTTGTTATTTGTTCTTAGACGCAGCACTATCTGGCAAATGGCAAGTGCACAATAGTACTTAAGATTTAAGTGGGGGCTCTGAGATAAGAGTTCTAGGGGTACCCCTACTTCCCGTTTTACAGTTACGGTTCCTCACTTTCCCTGCTCTAATTCTGGACCAAGTTCTTTAAGAATACCCTACAACACCTGTAAGTAATACTCCACTTACAGAAGAGCAAACAGGTAGAACGGTTGACTCTTGCCCAGGGTATTGCAGATGGTAAGAACTTGGATATTTAGTTACAGGGACCTCCCTCCCACTGACTTCTGACACCCAGGAATACTCAGGAACTTATCCTTCTCACTTTTGACTTGTAGCCCTACTATGGGCCCTTGGCACCCTTACTTGCGACTATATATGTATTCTTGTATGTGTTTGTTGTCCCCTAGATAGTCTTGCGCAGCATGGGCCAGAGGTGTTTAAGCTTTTCCCGGGCAGAGACAGTGGCACAGCTGAGAGCCACCGAAGCTCAAGTGTCTGGCGTGGGGGACCGGCAGTGGTTGTACCAAACGTGCACTGAGTTCGGCTTTTGTGAGTGGACTGCCAAACTCCCAAACCAGAGCATCTTAAAGATTCTCTGAACTCAGGGTCACAATTAACCAGACCCCTAGGCCCTGTGTAACCCCAGAGGTGCCTGGCTGGAGAATGTAATCAGTCACCTGGTGAGACATGCCTTCTAACACTCACACTTCAGGCCTCAACCTGAGTGCCCCCTTCTCCCTCTCTCCTTCCTTGTGTTTCCTGTTTTGTATCACAGAAAATCTCTGGCCTTGATTGGTCATTGGGCTAGAAATGTTACCTTGATGCCTCCTTCCCATAGTCCAGACGTCCTGTCAAGCACTGAGTCTTGCCCACTCTGCAACCTATCTTCCCCTCCTCTATTTCTTACTCTGTGGTCCTGCCAGAGCCACCCCTGCCCCGCCCCACACACACACTGCTGCCTGGATTCCCTGGCCTTTTCTACTATCTAGGCTTGAACTTCACCTGTGCAGTCTGACTTCTGTACCATAGCCAGAGAAATCTTCCTATATATGAGATTGTACTTCAGTGACCCAAGGTTGGAGTTGCCAGACAAAATACAGGATGACCAGTTAAATCTGAACTGCAGAAAGCAAACAAACACTGCACATTAAAAAACTCAAACATTACAAGTACAAAAGAAGTGGGATTTTTGTGTTTCTGAATATAGATATCCTGAATCATTTGTCAAATCTGGTCATCTTACCCCAGAATTAAGCCTTTGTTTTCTTTTGTGGGACATAGTCTTACTATGTAGCCCAGGTTTACCTTAAACTCACAGTATCCTCCTGCTTCAACCTGAATGCTGACATGACAGGTATATGCCACCATATCCAGCTCAAAGTTGAGTTCTAATTTCTTTCTACACTTTGAAGACAAGCAAGGGAAGTGGCATGACATAAAATGTTCAAATTCTATTTCCTGTCTACACGCTCTTGGACAAACTCCAGCAAGTACCCCGCTGAGATTAGCCAGTTTACACATCCATAAACTGGCAATAACAGCAGTACTTTTCTTCTTACACAGCTTGGCGTATTTTAGGCTGCCCAATACACCAGCTTAGAAATTTGACATCTTCTTGTTCAATGTGCTAGGATGATCTATTCCACCTTTTGTATGGTTTGCTGATCTTTCAGTCTCACCACAAGACACCCCCAATTTCTTCCATTTTTTTCTCAAGACAAAAACCTGTGTCCCACTTCTAACATGAATATATGTATGTATGTATGTATGTATGTATATTCCCCCTTCTCCCCGTCTAAGTGCTATATAACAACAGAGCATAGAATTATTTGGTTACCACTTTCTGCTCAATATTGCCCAGCATATGTCTGAGTGCATTGTAGGTAGTCAACAAATGGTGAAGGAAGGAAAACATTCATGTGAGGCCAAGGAAGTTACCCAGAAGAGTATGAGCTGTGGATTTTAAGCAGGGGAGTCATGATCCAATTTGAGAACCAGTCATTGCAGATTCTCTCTTCCCTCTAAACCTTTGCACTTTTTCTTTTCCCTATTGGTCATTTCTTCTTATTGTTTGGCTCAACCATCCAAATTTTCCAAATCCTTATTCTTGCAGGGTGCCCTCCCTAAGCTCATTGAGCTCTCTCTAGAAGCCCCACCTCCTCTCTTTTTCCATCACAGCCCCACTCAGGGATGTCATGATCTGGGATAGGTGAGCCTGTTTGGCAGAACTGTAAGCTCATGAAGGTCACTACTAGGAGTGTTTTTAAAAATTATTATTGAAGGAGAGTAGGGGCCTGGCTATATATATTCTTCATACTTAAAGATATTCTCTTTCCACAGATGTCACCTGTGAGAGTCCTCATTGTCCTTTTTCCCAGCTTCCAGCACTGCCCTCCCAGCTAGATCTGTGTGAACAAGTGTTTGGTCTCTCAGCTTCATCTGTTGCTCAGGCTGTGGCCCAGACAAACTCTTACTATGGTGGCCAGACCCCCAGAGCCACCCAAGTACTTTATGTTAATGGTGAGTATGCCACCAGAGCCTGGCTCTACAACATTATTGTAGCCCCAGTTCAGCACCATCCTCTCCTTTGTTTCCAGGGGACACCGATCCCTGGCAGGTGCTAAGTGTAACACAGGACTTGGGACCCTCTGAGCCAGCTCTTCTCATTCCTAGTGCCTCTCACTGCTTCGATATGGCACCTATGAGACCTTCAGACTCTCCCAGCCTCCGACTGGGGCGCCAGGTAAGAGAAAAGGCTCTGAGTATTTTATATGCTCATTTATATACTTACTTGCATGACCCTTCTTTTACCAGTGCTGAGTTCTGATTTCCAGAATGTTCTGCAACTCTTTACAGAAAATCTTCCAGCAGTTACAGGTCTGGCTTAAAGATACAAAGAAGAACCAGGATTGATGTGTGATCTAAACCCAGTCCTTCACCAGTCGTATCATGGCAACTTCATCCTGGCATTTTTCTACACTGTTACAAAAGAAATCAGTTGGCTTGGAAGGAGGAAATCCCAAGACTTGGAATTCAGTGCCTATTCTGCATGCTTGTTTTCCAGTCATCCTCACTGCCAACTAGAAGTTGTATTTGTCATAGTTTGTGTAAATGTAGGCCAGTGATTACTGTCCTTGCAGGCATCCAGATTCTGTGTGGTAAATGTCAGGGAAATATGGCTCTACATGCTGGAGCTTTCTACTGTAAGATCAGAATCTGGCTTGAACTGGGCACCTACTGCACATGACTCTCTACTTCCAAACTCTGTCTTAGTCTGCCGTGGTTAATTATTGTCAACTTAACTAAATTTAGAATCATCATGGAAACAACTCTGGACTGTCTTTGAGGACGTATCCAGCAAAGTTATACTAGAAAGACTCCCCTGAAGTGATGGTGACATCTCTGAGGTTCCAGCTAAGTAAAAAGGGAAACTGAGCACCAATATTCATGCCTCCCTGCTTTCTGACTAGTTGTCTCACATTCCTGCGGTTAATGGCTAGGCTCACAACCAAAAATAACCATCACACTTCCATTTAGATATTTAGTATGTGTGCTGCTCTTACACATGGTGTGTGCTTATTGTCTGTTCAGAGTCAGGCTGCCCTCCTCAAAAAGAGAAACACACCCTTCCTGCAGAATTCACATACTTGGGTTTTCCTCCTGCTCTGCTAGATGAGCCTTCAAATATTTTCTGCAAAGGTCCTTTCAGTTTGACACCTAGATGGGTTTAGCATAGATCCACCCTCTCCCTTTAAGCATTCTCAGAGATTCTGGAGAGAATTCACCCTGGAGGTTGTTAAAGGAGCAGCCTCTTAGCAGTGATATTATGGGTATCACCAAAAGCTTAAAGAAAAAAAAGAAATAAAAATCTCTAGCATAGCCCCCTTCCTTTGCTGGCTTGCTTGCTCCTAAGTGGTTGTCACTATCCTAGACTTGCAAAGATTAAAAATTAAATGAAACCTCATCAACTGAAAAATGTCTGCATAGCAAAGGAAACAACAAAATGAGAGGGCTGTCCAAGGGCTGGGAGAAAACATATCATAGCCATGTCTCAGATAAGGGGCTAATATAAAAACATCAGGAACTCACACTCAATAACAAAAATAATGATAAAATGGGCAAAGCTGGGTATGGTGATGCACATCTGTAATTCCAGCACTCAGGAAGCTGAGGCAGAAGAATAATGAATTGGCCATCAGCCTGGCTATACACTGGTGGTCTCCATTGGTAGTCAGTGGTTTGAAAGTACGAAGTTGTTGTTATTCTCAAAATTTCTTAATTTTCTCCTTGTTATTCACAAAAAAATAATTTGTAGTCATAGACAGAAACCCGACTAAACGTTTTCCAGAGTAAGCATAAGAACGGCCAACTGGTATGTGATGCCATTCTCGCTGTCATTAATCACCAGAGGAGGCAGCATGCACACCTGTTGGGATGGCTGCTGTTACTAAGAGTATTACTAAGAGTGTAAGAGAAAGCAAGTGTTGGTGAAGGTTTGGAGAAAAGGGAACCTTACACTTTGTTATGGGGACTGTAAATTACTACAGATGTAGTAGAAAACACTATGGACAAGCAGAAAGCATCAAAAATTATATGATCCAGCAAACCCTTTTATTGTGTATATTTACAAAGGAAATTCAAAATTTAAGTTGGCAGAGGAAGGAATCCCAACCAGCATCCTTCCTTTCCTGGGCTATGGGACTTAGCTCCTCCTAGTCTCTGGGACAGGAATCCCCACTGCACCCACACTCACAGGGTCTTCTAGCTCATGGGACATTGATGGACAGGCTGTACTCCTAGGATGGTCACCAACTTTTGACCTCTTCTATCTCAGTGGTGGGGAGGGTAAAACAGGAAGAACTTTATTGCTTAGACTTTTTGGATTTACCTAGAGAAATTTGGAAGGATGCCATTTGTGCCTGGTGTTCTGGTGTGCACTTTCTGTAGATTGGGAGACATGGGGTGGCAGGGTAACTCAGTCAGAATACAATGACAAAGCTATGGATTCTAACAGACAACTATATCTGTGAATGTTGTCAACTTGCTTAGCCAAGAACAAAACTGTAAATGCCCAGGCCATAGCTTAGTAATGAAAATGCTTCTCCTGAAGGGCTGGTGAGAGACTGGGGATGGAGTCCCTAGCCACAATGCCACTTAGCCCTTGGGAGATCCTGGGTTCCATCACCAGCACCACAAAAAGGAGATGGTAGGGTTGCAGGGAGAGGAGGGATATGAGGCTTGGACTGCATGGCAACCATTGCTGCTTGACAAAGTTTCAGAATTTCGACACGGCAGACTACAATTCTTCAGCATTCTTTTACTTTCATTTTTAAATGATTCTCATTATTGTGGGGCCCAGAGCAGCTTAAACACATTGCTTGCTGCCTGCTGCCATGGCAGGCTTAATAAAAGTCAGCTAAAAGGTAGGCCTGATTTTCAGTTTACTGGCAGACAGTACTAGGTTCCAGTAAAAGCCATAAGCTGACACCACCCAAAGAGGGCCAGCATCTAAGGGGAAGTACCTGATATTCCAGACATCCCAACCATTAAATAAGATTAGATAAGATCACAGATGTCCTTGAGCCCAGCATGTGCCTATTCCCCTTTTGTCTAGACACCCCTAGATAAGTGTCAGCCAACTTGAAGCCTGAAAATCCCTTCACCCTCAACCTCTACTATGATTTAAAATAAAACAAAAAACCTACCTCACCTGGGCTGGGCACTCTCTGTTCTCAACCACAGCATCTGGATAGATAAAGGCTCTTTGCTTTTGTGTATACTGAGTGCAAACTCTGGTGTTGTTAGAGGAACACCCCACCCCACCCCCACCCCAGCAGCCTGGGCATCACAATTATGTGTTATAGGAGTTTGTTATCTCTTTTCCTTTGGGAAATTTCATGTAGGCTTTAAAGGATGAAAATGTATAAAATGGTAGCCTCTTCAAACAAAATAATTTGGAAAAACATCCCCACCACTGAAGAACCATATAGCTAGATGTCTCTGCTGCACACAGGAATCCCATTGTACCTTTCTAATTACACCAAGAGCTGGAAGTTCGAGATTTAATAACTGGATACCCATGGATGAATGCAATTCGGGAACATCTCAGTGCTTATGCTGCCTCTGCATCTGGCTCCTTGAGGAATGAAAATTGCTTTTAAACTCTAGTGAAGTATCTGGTTCACAGAAGAAGCCCTTTTCCCAAGGTCGGGTCTTATAAGAACCTCCATTCCCTCAGGACCTCTAGGAAAGTTCCTGCTTGCTAAAGGGAGTCACTCTCCTGCAGGAAGAACTTGTGGCCCTTCCATTAATATAGAAGGGATCCTAGGTACAGTTACAGAACCTTTGAGACATTTAGATACTTGCTGAACTTACCACTTTTGTTTCAGGAAAAATGCTATGATGAAGTTAATAGCCACTTTTGTCCCTGAATCTTTGCTTTCAATCTTGCTTGTGGCTAAACTGTTGAGTATAAAAAGTGTAGCCTTTTTCCAGTAAACACTGGGGCAACCATCCCTATTCACCCTCAAATCAGTTCAGTTCCCCATCCCCTACTTCCCCCTCACCCCCCACACCAACTCTGCAACTCCTCTTTGGGACCTGAACCCCAGCAGGTGTGGGCTCTGGTTTTGTTTTGCTTTGAATGCAGTAATTTGGAATCTGTACACTTAAAGGGAAAAATATAGAGCCAAGAGATTTTAAGGGGGGTTGGGAAAGAGGACAGGCGGTCATTAGATGGAAAGAAAACAGAGAGGGCTCCTGTGGAGAAGGGAGACCAGAGAAAGGAGGGGGTCAGAGGGCAATGAGGAAAGGGATGAATAAGAATGTATAATAGTCTTACGTAGGAAATCCCATAACGAAACTCATTACTAAAAATTAATAAAAATAAAAGTAAAAAATAGGAAGAAAAGAAATATGAAGAATCAAATTTTTTGTTCTGATTTAGGAAAATGTTATGTTATATTTGTTCATGTGATAGATAGATGTGTGTGTGTGTGTGTGTGTGTGTGTGTGTGTGTGTGGATCATCGGCTATGCATGGCAATCAGTGGGCAGTTTGTGGGAGGTTCTCTCCTTTGACTCCATGAATCCTAATAGACTTTCTGTTTACTGATGTAGTAAGTCAGATAAAGCAGAACTGAAAAACTGTAACAACAGGTTTATTTGAGTAAAGCAACTCCCTAATGAGTTCTCCAGATTGGGGGGAGGGGTCTGGGGGAGGTAGCTGCACCTCTGAACTAAAGGAAAAATTCGTAACTTGGCTTTATTTGGAGACTCTAAACCTGGTGGGGTTTGGAGAGGGATAAGGGCTTTTCTGCTCTTACAGGGGTGAGCTGGAGGTTCTAATGAAACATCCTACCTTGAAGCCAAATTGTCAAGTTTGGTGGCAAGCCCTGCTACTTATTGAACATTGTTGCCAGCCCAGGGGGGGGAAAATGTTTTTACACACTAGTCATATTTACAACTCCTGCCTTTTGTTCTCTGGTCTCCACAAGCATTTCATGGTGTGAAAGACTCTACCACACACAGACTAAATGTTATAAATTTTTAAAAAGAAATAGTTACAAATAGGTAATAATTTACATAGACCTTACTCCACCCTTCCATCCTCCAATCTCCAGAAAGTAGTGTTCTTTTTGTTTGTTTGTTTCTGGTATATGCTCTTATGTGGAAAAGGAAATTGTAAAAATTTGTGGGTAATTCTGTATACAGTCACACCCTGCCTGCTCAAACAAACTGAAAATATTTAAATGCATGAGTTAAGCATTCACAGGCAGTGAAGTATAATAGATTTTGTGTCTCCTGATAATAGGTTCCTCTGCTGACACAGTAAACCAGATCAAGCTGAATTGCAAAAAAAAAAAAAAAAAAAAAAAAAAAAAAAAAATGTAACCACAGGTTTATTTGAGCAAAGCAACTCCTGGGTGGGTGGTTTCTCTAGTCCCAGAGATGGAGGCTGGAGATGGAGGGGTGATGACATGTCCAACACAAACTGTGTTTGTGCCCAAGTATGGTCAAAGGCTGAATGCTTAAACCGGGTCTTGTGCTGCTGGTGGCAACAGGGGAAGAAGTTGCAATTGTCTCCAAGAATGCAGAACTGGGCTTTTGGGCACCTTTTCTTTGTTGCCTTGAAAGGATGGGGGTGGGAGAGGAATGAGGCTTTTTTGGATTATGCAGGGTAAGCTGGAGGTAGATGATTGGTGTTTTTTGTTCTAAAATTGCTCATACGTTAACAATGTGACATGTATTATATCTGCTGTAATTTTTTAAAGACACTGTAACATGTATATGACCCAGGCTAATTTGGAACTGAAAATCTTCCTGCTTAGCTTCCTCAGTCAGTACAGACTCCCATGTTTGACTGTTAAAATCTTTAAAGTGATGTTTTCTTTTCTCACAAAAAAAATTATTTTGGGTGAAGAAGGTGACTCAGAGATTAAGGGT